AAATTTAAAAAACAGAAAAATCGAATAATTGCAAATCAAAAATAGAAAAAACGAAACCTGAAACACCGAGAAATTTGAAACTTGAGAATGCGAATTAAAAAAAATGGTCGCACAGATGAAAGCAATATTCGACGTTGGGCCAGTTTGAATTTAGCGCCGATGTACTTTGTTGTCATTGGTTGGAGTTGTAGACATTTTAAAAACAAAGCATATGCAACCAACAATACTTAAAAAAGAAAACATACGTTTACTTCACAGAAGGGAAGGCTGTGGAATAAATAATGATGTCAGATGGTTTAATCTCAATTTTTACTCATGTCGAATTAAAAAAAAAACACACATTGTCGTTAATACTACTTTGAAACCAATTTTCTGGCTTGACATAGGTACTTTCAAGTTAATGTATAAAATGTTCAAAAACTTTTGGAGTCAGGGTTGACTATGAAATTAACGTCTTTGCGATATTGTATCAGAAGATACTAAAATAGAGTGGGGGTGGTTTGTTGCTGGGGTAGGTGAAACAATGAACAACAAGTTTTAATAATAGATTTATTAGATATTGCGCCACAAAGGCATTACTTATATAATAATAATAGTTATGTAAACAGTTTGTATCTGATCAATTGATTATTTCACACCTTTTCAAAAAAATAAGTTATTAACTGTTTGTTCGTTCAAATCCTTCATCCTGTCAACTTGAATTTTGAGATTTTTTTTTTCTCATCTTTATGATGACGTCATTAACATTTCAGCAAGGGCACATAATCAATTTAATTTTAATAAACTGCTTAGAGTTTTGGCATCCTTGGAATCCCCGAAATATTTGAAATTTCCACAAGTTCCAGTTCCTCTAAATGTTGCTCCTATGAAAATATCAGTCTTTGGATATGCCAGGTCTTCCAAGTTTTCTGCACTTTCTAGATGTTTCCAGATTTTCTAAAATTAATAGTCCCCAAGAATCTTTAAATCTTTGAAATTTTTGGAATCTCTGGAATCTTTGAGATGTACAAGATAACAATTCGGGTATTCAAAATCCCTAATACTTGTAGGATTTATAAAAATTAAAGAAAGCATTCTTCAATTTTTACGATTTTTAGATTTTTGGGATTTTTGTTTTGTTTAGAGCCTTTGGAATCTTTAAAATTTTTGACATGTTAAATCTTGAGATATTGTAAACTTTTGAAATTTTGAGATTTAATATTTTTTTGTTTTCTTTTAATTTTTCGGAATTTTCGTAATTTGCAAAATTTTCAAAATTTCCAGAAAGTTCAAATTTTCCAGATTAGTCCAATTTTTCAGAGTACACAAAATGACCAGAATTTGCACATTTTCCAAAATTTCTAAAATTATCAGGCTCCAGAATTATAAAATTCAACCTTTTCCAATATTTTCAAGATTTCTAGTTTTACATTTTCTAAATTTTTTCAGATTTTCTAAAATTTATAAATCTTAAGAATCTAAATCTTTGGAATCTTTGCAATCTCTGGAATCTTTACAGACTCCAAGACTTATACTTAATTAGGGCGTTCAAAGCCTTCAGTGCTTTTAGGATGTCATTAAGATTTTTGTTTTCTTTAAAGTCTTTGGAATTTTTCAAATCTTTCGCATTTTAAGAGTTCAGGCGATTTTTACCAGTTTTAGAATGTTTGGCTTTTTAGAATTTCTCTAGAACCTTTAGAATCTTTATTTTTAATTTTTCATCAATCAAATCGGAAAATTGTAAAACTAAAAAATTGAAAAATCAAAAAATTAAAAACTGAAAAATCGAAAAAGAAACATTGAAAAACCGAGCAATTTAAAAATTGAGAAATCGAAGGAACTGCAAAAATAAAGAAACTCAAAATCGAATAATTAAGAGGTCAAAGGAGAAATTGTAACCTTAAAAATGAAAAAACTGAAAATTTAAAAAACAGAAAAATCGAACAATTGCAAAATTGAAAATCAAAAATAGAAAAAACGAAACTTGAAACACCGAGAAACTGAAAACTTCCATAATTGAAAAAACTGAAAATTTGAAAAATTAAAAAAAAGAAACAGTAAAATCGAAAAACTGATTAATTAAAAATCGAGAAATACAAAAATGCGGCAAAAAAAAATTCTAGAAATAGAAAAATCGGCAAATTGTGAAATTCAAAAGTTGAAGAATGTCAAACTAAACATCGAAAAACTGTAAAATTGAAAAATCGACAATTGAAAAAATAGCGAAAGTAAAAAATCGGTTAACGAAAAAATCAACAATTGAAAAATCAAAAACTAAAAATGAAAAAATCGAAAAAACAAGAAACTGTCAAATCTAAAAACTATAACATTGAAGACCGAAAAAATTGACGAAATAAAAATCGAGAAACCGAAAAATCCTAAAATCGAAAAGCTAAGAATCTTAAAAACTTCAAAAATCGATGCGAATATAAAAAAATGGTCGCACAGATGAAAGCAATAATATTCGACGTTGGGCCAGTTTGAATTTAGCGCCGATGTACTTTGTTGTGATTGGTCGGAGTTGTACACATTTTAAAAACAAAGCATATGCAACCAACAATACTTAAAAAAGAAAACATACGTTTACTTCACAGAAGGGAAGGCTGTGGAATAAATAATGATGTCAGATGGTTTAATCTCAATTTTTACTCATGTCGAATTAAAAAAAAAACACACATTGTCGTTAATACTACTTTGAAACCAATTTTCTGGCTTGACATAGGTACTTTCAAGTTAATGTATAAAATGTTCAAAAACTTTTGGAGTCAGGGTTGACTATGAAATTAACGTCTTTGCGATATTGTATCAGAAGATACTAAAATAGAGTGGGGGTGGTTTGTTGCTGGGGTAGGTGAAACAATGAACAACAAGTTTTAATAATAGATTTATTAGATATTGCGCCACAAAGGCTTTACTTATATAATAATAATAGTTATGTAAACAGTTTGTATCTGATCAATTGATTATTTCACACCTTTTCAAAAAAATAAGTTATTAACTGTTTGTTCGTTCAAATCCTTCATCCTGTCAACTTGAACTTTGAGAATTTTTTTTTTCTCATCTTTATGATGACGTCATTAACATTTCAGCAAGGGCACATAATCAATTTAATTTTAATAAACTGCTTGGAGTTTTGGCATCCTTGGAATCCCCGAAATATTTGAAATTTCCACAAGTTCCAGTTCCTCTAAATGTTGCTCCTATGAAAATATCAGTCTTTGGATATGCCAGGTCTTCCAAGTTTTCTGCACTTTCTAGATGTTTCCAGATTTTCTAAAATTAATAGTCCCCAAGAGTCTTTAAATCTTTGAAATTTTTGGAATCTCTGGAATCTTTGAGATGTACAAGATAACAATTCGGGTATTCAAAATCCCTAACACTTGTAGGATTTATAAAAATTAAAGAAAGCATTCTTCAATTTTTACGATTTTTAGATTTTTGGGATTTTTGTTTTGTTTAGAGCCTTTGGAATCTTAAAAATTTTTGACATGTTAAATCTTGAGGTATTGTAAACTTTTGAAATTTTGAGATTTAATATTTTTTCATTTTCTTTTAATTTTTCGGAATTTTCGTAATTTGCAAAATTTTCAAAATTTCCAGAAAGTTCAAATTTTCCAGATTAGTCCAATTTTTCAGAGTACACAAAATGACCAGAATTTGCACATTTTTCAAAATTTCTAAAATTATCAGGATCCAGAATTATGAAATTCAACCTTTTCCAATATTTTCAAGATTTCTAGTTTTACTACATTTTCTAAATTTTTTCAGATTTTCTAAAATTTATAAATCTAAAGAATCTAAATCTTTGGAATCTTTGCAATCTCTGGAATCTTTACAGACTCCAAGACTTATACTTAATTAGGGTGTTCAAAGCCTTCAGTGCTTTTAGGATGTCTTCAAGATTTTTGTTTTCTTTAAAGTCTTTGGAATTTTTCAAATCTTTGGCATTTTAAGAGTTCAGGCGATTTTTACCAGTTTTAGAATGTTTGGCTTTTTAGAATTTCTCTAGAACCTTTAGAATCTTTATTTTTAATTTTTCATCAATCAAATCGGAAAATTATAAAACTAAAAAATTGAAAAATCTGAACTGCAAAAATAAAGAAACTCAAAATCGAATAATTATGAGGTCAAAGGAGAAGTTGTAACCTTAAAAATGAAAAAACTGAAAATTTAAAAAACAGAAAAATCCAACAATTGCAAAATTGTATAATTGAAAAAACTGAAAATTTGAAAAAAAAGAAACAGTAAAATCGAAAAACTGATTAATTAAAAATCGAGAAATACAAAAATGCGACAAAAAAAATTCTAGAAATAGAAAAATCGACAAATTGTAAAATTCAAAAGTTGAAGAATGTCAAACTAAACATCGAAAAACTGTAAAATTGAAAAATCGACAATTGAAAAAATAGCGAAAGTAAAAAATCGGTTAACGAAAAAATCAACAATTGAAAAATCAAAAACTAAAAATGAAAAAATCGAAAAACAAGAAACTGTCAAATCTAAAAACTATAACATTGAAGACCGAAAAAATTGACGAAATAAAAATCGAGAAACCGAAAAATCCTAAAATCGAAAAGCTAAGAATCTTAAAAAATCGATGCGAATATAAAAAGATGGTCGCACAGATGAAAGCAATAATATTCGACGTTGGGCCAGTTTGAATTTAGCGCCGATGTACTTTTTTGTGATTGGTCGGAGTTGTACACATTTTAAAAACAAAGCATATGCAACCAACAATACTTAAAAAAATAGAAAACACGCTTACTTTACAGAAGGGAAGGTTGGTGATCTAATCTGAATTTCTACTCGTCGAATTTAAAAAAAAAAACACACACACATTGTAATTAATACTACTTTGAAACCAATTTTCAGGCTTCACATAGGTAATGTATAAAATGTTCAAAAACTTTTGGAGTCAGGGTTGACTATGAAATTGACGTGTTTGCGGTTTTGTATCAGAAGATAGTAAAATTGAGTGGGGGTGGTTTGACGTCGGGGTAGGTGAAACAATGAACAACAAGTTTTAATAATAGATTTATTAGATATTGCGCCACAAAGGCTTTACTTATATAATAATAATAGTTATGTAAACAGTTTGTATCTGATCAATTGATTATTTCACACCTCTTCAAAAAATAAGTTATTAACTGTTTGTTCGTTCAAATCCTCGGATTATAAAACCATCCATTTCGTTCACTACAAACGAGAAACTATTTACAATCTGTGCTCCAGAGTTCCAAAAAAAAGTAACCATCTGATTAAATACAAACCACATTTCTAACAAGTATGAGTCCATCACTGAAGAAATTTAGTGTTAGTGGCAAAAAACTTTGCTTCAATTTAATAAGTCAGTTCGAAAAGGAAAGTCGTTATTGTCTAGTATATAACACTAAAAGAAAATAAACAGAAGCAAAGTAGAGATTAACAATCCAAACAAGAAAAAAATGCTGATTACAGAGTTTCTTAGTGCCACAAATCTGGTTTATTAAATTGAATGAAAGTCGATTACAACCAACGATTATTAGATACTATACGTGAGGAAATAACTGCAAGAAAACTTGTGACGGCCCATCTGAATTTCGTTTAATAAAAGAAAAACCAGCTAAACGAAACGAATTCAGACAAACGTCAGATGAGGTAACATATTATTTACATATCCATTGATTAACTTGAGTTGTTTTTCTCTCTACATGCAGCATACGGACAGAAGGATAATTTGAAATTCTAAATACATGAAAAGCTCAATAACAAACTGTTAAATCGTAATAATAAGAATAACAGAAAAATATTCAAATGACAAGTACAAGCAAGTGTTTCCGTGTGTTACGCCGCCATATTGGCGTGAGCGCCCCCTCGCGGAAAATAACGAAAAACTTTTTGAAAGTACGGCGTCGGGGCCTCTCTCGCCAACATAGTCAAGATCTAAAGATGCACAAAATAACACTCCCGTAATTTGCAATCTCTATGCACTGACATACGACACTAACTTTACTTTCCACAGTGTTGGCAACATTTAAACAAAAACATTTAGAATAACTCCACTTGACTCCAACCTAGTTTTTAACTTTATCACTCTATATTTGCACGAAAAGTAAAATAGACCTGCTCTGAGAAAATAAAACTAACGTGTTTACATACCATGGTCAGGTTTCAATCCAAAAACAAAGCACAACGATCAACAAATTCCTAATTTAACTAACCAAGAGAAGCAAACTGTACTTTGTACGTTGAACTGACCCCCACACATCAATTAACCAAACTAAATTTCGATTATCAATAATTGCATTACTCCTTGCATATGGGTTGCTTCCGGTTGGCCCGGCGTCGTCCCGCGGACCGATATCGACTATATACACAACAACAAAAGAAACAAAGAGAAAAAGAAGCTAAAAATGACATGTATCTATGAATTTATTCCCTCCGACAAATTTAAGGTGGCAAAATTTGTTTTTCTTGTTTTCCTTTTTTTGTAGAACAGTTCGGTGCTGCTTCCGATTACGCAACACCACCGGTAATAGTCACTTTCACACTAATTTCAACAACACCCGCATCGGGTAGCGTCCATTCACTTTTGCGGGGTGCATGGCACTGAGTGGCGGGGTTCATATTTTTTGAATTTTTTCTCCGACTACTACTGGATTGTTGCGTCTAATCTCTTGGGCTCCCATCTCCCTGTAGTTAAAGCTGCAGTCGTGCTTGTCGCTGTATCGATGGATGGCGCAGAACAGACCCCCGCAACGGCATTCGAAACCTGCAACACCTACAAATTACCTACTGGACTCGGGAGGATGACTAAATTAAACGCGACCCGCGAGCGCGAAACGCGACCCCACCGACCACGCGCACCACCAAAAACGCTAAAATAGAAAAATCGACCAAACATATCTTATTATTCACCCTTAATATGCATTTATCTGATTTATTTCAAAGCAACATTAATGGTCACCTTTCTAAATCAATTCAAGTTCATCGCGTACCGCAGGGCACCCATTTAGGGCCAATTTTGTTCGCATTATTATAAATATTTCCGCTAGCATAAACGGTATGTATAAATTCAAAAAGAGATTAGTGTTTTCTACGAATGCTGATAAATCGAATGGAACTTAAATGTCAATAAAAGCAAAATAATAATCGTTCGTGTTATTATTAGTACAACATTCTAACCAACCAATATTAAAATAAAACGTTGTTATATAATTTATACTTTTTTTCTGAAAATTTCCTTATACAAATTTCCCACTTTAAACATGACTGAAGTTTAATGTTGTGAAAAGAAGTCTACACATATTAAAATAACAAGGCAAAATATGAAAATAACAAAAATGTAGCCCCGCCCACCCACCCGATCTCAATTGTGATGAATTTTTTATTCGTCGTAAGCCAATAAACCAAGGAGCTTAACTGCAAAATACTTGCCTTTACAAGAAATTCAAAACATGTTTTTGAGTATCCTCTTGTTCAAAAAATACTACGTAAATTAAGAAAAAAAGGGCAAAATATAAACCCCGCCCACCCACCCCATCTCAATTCTGATGATTTTTTTATTCTTGGAAACCTAAAACACGTTTAAAATGGCGAATGTTGCTAAGAAAATATGGATTTTGCAATTAGGCTCCGCCCCTAGATCTGCCAACGAATGAAAATTTCATTCAGACCAGGTATGGGTGGGGCTTAATCTTTGGCTTTAATTTTTTCTTAATGTCCATAGTATTCTTTGAATAACACAATACTCAAAAACCTGTTTTAATTACTCGTAGAAAATAAAGATTTTGCAGTTAAGCTCCGCCTTCTTGGCTCACGACGAATAAGAAAATAATAATCAGAATTGAGATAGGGTGGGCGGGCGGGGCTTATATTTTGCCTTTTCCTTAATATACGTAGTTGTCCTTTCAAAACAAGAAACTTAAAACATGTTTAAAATGGTAAATTCTTGTAGAAGAATAATATAGTAATCTTGCAATTAAGCCCCCAAAAACATGCTTTTAATTTCTCTTAGAAAATTAAGAATTTTGCAGTTAAGCTCCGTCTTCTTGGGTAACGACGAATAAGAAAAATCACCACAACTGAGATAGGGTGGGTGGGCGGGGCTACATTTTACCTTTTTTTTTTAAATATGTGTAGCCATCTTTTCACAACAAGAAACTTAAAAAATGTCTAAAATGGTAAATTTGTATAAGGAAATATCGATTTTGCTATTACGCTCCACCCCCAGGTCTGACAACGAATGAAAAATTCATCACGATTGAAATCGAGACAGATGGGTGGGATTTCTTTTGGTTTTCGTTTTTAATTAAAACATTTAGCTTTTTTGTATATGTTTACTTAAAGAACATATTTTACATGTAATTTTTCGTAGGAAAATAAGGATTTTACAATTAAGCTCCGCCCCTCGGCTTACGACGAATAAAAAAATCATCAGAATTGAGATAGGGCGGATGGGCGGGGCTTATATTTTACCTTTTTTGTTAATATACATAGCCATCTTTTCACAACTAAAAACTTAACAAATCTATATTCCCTTGTACAATTTCCATTTTAAACATGTTTTAAGTTCCATGTTGTGAAAAGAGGTCTACACATGCTAAAAGGAAAAGGCAAAATATAAGCCCGCCCACCCGCGCTATCTCAATTGTGATGATTTTTTTTATTCGCCGTGAACCAAGGAGGCGGAGCTTAACTGCAAAATATTTATTTCGTTACAACAGATTAAAAACATGTTTTTAAGTATAGTCTTGCTCAAAGAATACTATGTATATTAAGAAAAACAGGCAAAATATAAACCCCGCCCACCCACCCTATCTCAATTGTGACGATTTTTTTCTTAGAAACCTAAAACACATTTAAAATGGTAAATGTTTATAAGAAAATATGGATTTTGCAGTTAAGCTCCGCCCACTTGGCTCACGACGAATAACAAAAAAAATCATCACAATTGAGACAGGGCGGGTGGGCGGGGCTTATATTTTACCTTTTTTTTAAGATACATAGCCATCTTTTCACAACTAAAAACTTAACAAATTCATATTTCCTTGTGCAATTTCCATTTTAAATATGTTTTAAGTTTCATGTTGTGAAAAGAGGTCTACACATATTAAAAGTAAAAGGCAAAATATAAGCCCGCCCACCCGCCCTATCTCAATTGTGATGATTTTTTTTTATTCGCCGTGAAGCAAGGAGGCGGAGTTTAACTGCAAAATGTTTATTTCGTTACAACAGATAAAAAACATGTTTTTAAGTATAGTGTTGCTCAAAGAATACTATGTCTATATTATTAAGAAAAAGGGGCAAAATATAAACCCCGCCCACCCACCCTAACTCAATTGTGATGTTTTTTTTTATTCTTAGAAAGCTAAAACACGTTTAAAATAGTAAATGTTTGTAAGAAAATATGGATTTTGCAATTAGGCTCCGCCCCTAGGTTTGCCAACGAATGAAAATTTCAATTTAGATCAGACCAGGTATGGGTGGGGCTTAATCTTTGGCTTTAATTTCTTCTTAATATCCATAGCATTCTTTGAATAACACGATACTCAAAAACATGTTTTTATTAAGCTCCGCCTTCTTGGTTCACGACGAATAAAAAAAAATCAGAATTGAGATGGGATGGGTAGGCGGGGCTTATATTTTGCCTTTTTGCTTAATATACGTATTGTACTTTCAAAACAACGAATGAAAAATTCATCACAATTGAGAATTGAGATTGGGGGAGGGTAAGGGTGGAGCCTAATCATTTGCTTTATTTTTTCTTAGTATACATAGTATTCTTTGAACAACATGATACTCAAAAACATGTTTTTAATTTCTCGTAAGAAAAATAAGGATTTTGCAGTTAAGCTCCGCCTTCTTGGCTCACGACGAATAAAAAAATCGTCACAATTGAGACAGGGTGGGTGGGCGGGGATACATTATGCCTTGTTTTTTTAAATATGTCTAGTCATATTTTCACAACAAGAAACTTAAAACATGTCTAAAATGGTAAATTTGTATAGGGAAATATCGATTTTGCAAATTGTGAGCCCGCCCACCTGGCCTATCTCAATTGTGATGATTTTTTTATTCGTCGTGAACAAAGGAGGCGGAGCTTAACTGCAAAATACTTATTTCATTAGAAGAGATTAAAAGCATGTTTGAGTATAGTGTTGTTCAAAGAATACTATGTATATTAAGAAAAACAGGCAAAATATAAACCCCGCCCACCCACCCCATCGCAATTATGATGATATTTTTTATTCTTAGAACCTAAAACACGTTTAAAGCGGTAAATGTTTTTAAGAAAATATGGACTTTGCAGTTAAGCTCCGCCTTCTTGGCTCACGACGAATAACAAAAAAATCATCATAATTGAGACAGGGCGGGTGGGCGGAGCTACATTTTGCAATATTTCTATTCTTCAATTTGTCGATTTTCCGATTTCTCGGTTTTTTTATCTTTTGAAATTTTCGATTTTTCTTTTTTTCTGAATTTTTTTGATGTCTCGGTGTTTCAGTTTTTCGAGATTTTAATTTTTCAATTTTTAGGATTTTAGATTTCCGTTTCTTCAGGTTTTTTTTGATGATCTTTCAGTTTTTGAACTTTCCGATGTTTATATATTTCTCGATTTTTCAATTTTTCTTCCATTTTAAATTTTTTCAATATTTCAGTTTTGGGATTTTACAATATTTCGATTCTTGGATGTTTTGATTTCTCTGTTTTTAAATTTTCCGATATATCAAGTTTTACAATTTTTAAAGTTTAGTTCTTTTATTTTTCACTCCTTCGAATTTCTAAGTTTTATTTTTTTTTCATGATTGGTTAAAACATGTACGTTACGTAGCAACGGACCTCAATTAGAAATTAATCGCGAATTAACAATTTCGCTTTCTATAAACTGGGTTGAATTGTTTCATACTTTAGGGGTCATGAAACGTCAAGAAAAGATGAAAGAAACCGTTCGCCGGATGCACCTTATAACGAATACTTCCTAGGCAGAAAAAATAAAATAAGGCTTGTGATGAAAGTTTCACTGTTGATGAAACCCTTGAGATTCGAATTATGAATCTTCGACTGTACTTCAAAAAAAAAAAAAAATACAAAATATCTCGTACATATATGAAAAGTGTATCTGATAGAAGAAACGTCTTAATTCAAGCGACATGTTTTTAGGTAGTTTTGTTTGAAATCTACAAGAAAATGTTTTTGGGTAACTTTCAAAAATGATCAAAAATTGGTCTAAATTTTCACATTGAAAAATTTTGGTTTTGAAAAAATTGTCAAAAAAATTCCAAAAAAATCGGGCATATAGATTTTGACGTGTTGATTCCAAAAATATATTGTGCTTAAGGTCCTGGGGAAGATTTTAGAAATATTCTGTTTGAAATTTTTTTTATCCAAAAAATTGCAATATATTCCAATGGACGATTCTGGAAAAATGGTTAAAGTTGTCGATGAGTGAGGCCGAAACTAACTTCTGCAAGGCGAAATATATAAGAAAATGTCATTGGTTTAATTTCAAAAATGATGGAAAATTGGCTTAAATTTTCAGATTGAAAATTGTATTTTGAAAAAGTTGTCAAAAAAATCCCCAAAAATCGGGATATAGATTTCGACGTGCTAACTCCAAAAATATATCGTGTCTAAGATCCTGAGGCAAGATTTTGGAAATATTCTGTTTGAAAATCAATTTTTCTGAAAATACAAAAAATTGCATTCGAAATTTTCAAGAAAATGTCTTTGGTTTCATTTTGAAAATTGTCGAAAATTGCCTTTAAATTTTCATATTGAAAAATTCTGCTTCTGAAAAACTTGTCAAAAAATTCCTAAGAAAATCGGGGAGATAGATTTTGACGTGTTGACTCCAAAAATATAGCGTGTTTATTGGTCCCGGGGTAAGATTTTTGAAATATTCTTTCCGATTTTTTTTTTTTTCATCCAAAAAATTGCAATATTTAAATGGGCGGATTCTGGAAAATGGTAATAGTTGTTGAAAAAATAGGGCAGAACTAATTTCTGCAGGTTGAAATCTAGAAGAAAATGTTTTTGGGTAACTTTAAAAAATAATCAAAAATTGGTCTAACTTTTCACATTGAAAAATTTTGGTTTTGAAAAAATTGTCAAAAAAATTACAAAAAATCGGGGATATAGATTTCGACGTGTTGTCTCCAAAAATATATCGTGTCTACGATCCTTAGGCAAGATTTTAGAAATATCCTCTTTGACAATATTTTCTTTTTAAATCCAAAAAATTTCAATTTTCTAATGGGCGATTCTGGAAAAATGGTAAAAGTTGTCGATGAAATGACGTCGCAACTAAACTCTGGAGGTCAATGTCATTGGTTTAATTTCAAAAATGATCGAAATTGGCCAAAATGTTCATATTGAAAAATACTGTTTTGAAAAAGTTATCAAAAAATCCCTAAAAATCGGGGATATAAATTAACTCCAAAAATATATCGTGGGGCAAGATTTTGGAAATATTCCGTTTGAAAATCAATTTTTCTAAAAATACAAAAAATTGCATTCGAAATTTTCAAGAAAATGTCTTTGGTTTCATTTTGAAAATGGTCGAAAATTGCCTTTAAATTTTCATATTAAAAAATTCTGCTTCTGAAAAACTTGTCAAAAAATTACTAAAAAAATCGGGGATATAGATTTCGACGTGTTGACTCCAAAAATATAGCGTGTTTATTGGTCCCGGGGTAAGATTTTTGAAATCTTCTGACTGAAATTTTTTTTTAATCCAAAAAATTGCAATATTTCAATGGACGGATTCTGGAAAACGGTAATAGTTGTTGGAAAAATGGGGCCGAACTAATTTCTGCAGGTTGAAAAGTGTATCTGATAGAAGAAACGTCTTAATTCAAGCGATATGTTTTTAGGTAGTTTTGCTTTAATAAACTGCGCGCCAAAAGTTAGGGATATTTTAATTAACTTAATTTTTCGAAAATTATAACCCTAACTTTTGACGCGCAGTTTATTTTGGTGCTGTTTATTTCTAGCCACAAATTTTCGTTTTTAAATTATTATCATTGTTTTGGTTAAAAATGGAACCCAGCGACGCGCGTTAGACTCGGGCGGATGCATAAAAATTCAAGACACTCAAAAAAAAACGAAAACGGCTCGAACGGAACTCGGTCGGATGCGTTATCGTGGTGGCAACTCACCGGTCAGTCCGACCTTCTTGCGGCAGGTGGCGCAGCGATTTTTTTTCTTTTTGGCGTCTTTGTCGGCGTCCTTGTCGTCGGAATTGTGTTCGACGTCCGGACTGTTGGTGGCGGCGGAATTTTCGGTAAGAGCGGGGCTTGCTTCGGTGGTCGTGTTTGAACCGGCTACACTTGCCGCAGCTTCATCGACGGCCTGTTGCGCACACGAGAAGGAAAGAAAGAAAAACGGTTTTTAATATAAAACATTCCGGCCACCATCGTAGTCAACCTGATTTGTTAAATATTTACTTGACTCATCATCCTTTGGTGTTGACGAGACGACTAATGCATCGTTCGTGTCGTTGTCGTCTTCGCTGCTTGTTGTGGGTAAGTGATTTTTTGACATACTTGAATTTTGACGGGTGATGTTTGTTTTTGGTGGATGCGTCAAGGCGGGTCGCCATGGAGCGGCTCGACGGCGACAGTGGGAGGACGGGTGGTCGAGGGCTTCGTCACGGTGGGGGTAGAGGAGGGGAGATCGAACTGTTTTTCGAAAAATTTATAGGGTTAAGTGGCGCTGTGGCTAATATTTTATTTTATTTTCCGTTTCGGATTGGTCTTTTTATAGTCATCGGGTCCATCGGGCCTCTTTGTCTGTCTATCAATTTTTATTAGACACCGATTGTAGTCAAATTTTCTATGTATGTACATTAGAAATATCATATAGATAAAACGCCAACAAAAATATGGCTAATCAACTTTTTTTTTTATTTTATACAAAAATACTCCTGGAATTGTGATGTATGAATCCGTGCCGAATTTTCACCCTAGACATCCCGATTTTTGGGAAAAAAATCAAAATTATAAACATTTAGTAACTTTAGATAAATTTATTCGTTTTCCCCTCTCAAAAAATTGATGACGTCCACTTAAAATTCTGTCCACAATTTTTTTTTTCATTTTTTCCATTTTATATCATTTTTTTTTGTTTTTTTTTCGATTTCATAAAATTTCTTATTCAGTTTTTCAATATTTGATTTTTCAAATCCTCGATTCTCCAATTTTTAAATTTTTATTTGGTTTTTTCGATTTTCAATTTTTCGTTTCTTCAATTTTTTGATTTCCAATTTTCCCATTTTCAAACTTTTTATTTTATACTTTTTCGTTTCTTCATTTTGATTCTTCAATTTTCAATTTTGTATTTTTGCATTTTTTTGGATTCTAAAAGTTGAAAAATCAAAAAATCGAAAAATTGCAAATCGCAGAACTGAAGAACCAAAAACTTAATGGAAAACAAAAAACTGAGAAACTTAAAAATCGAAAAAAAAAGAATAAAAAAATTGGAAAAAAAAAAACGAATCGAAAAATAATAGAATTGTCAAAATTGTAAAGTCGAAAAACAGTTACATTGCAATTAAAAGTGAAAAGTGGAAACATTCTAAAATCCTAAAATCGAAAAACTGAAAAAAAAAAGAGAACTGAAATTGCAAATCAAAATATTGAAACAGCCAAAAGTTGGAAACTAGAAAAACTGAAAAATTGGAAAAACTTAAATTGAAAGAACAAAAAATGGTGAATCGAACAATTTTAAAAATTATTACTCCTGCATAGTTAAAATGGAAAAAAAATCTAGGAAAATTGCACATCAAAAATTGAAGAAACGAAAAATTAAAATAATTAAAAGTTGAAAAACCGAAAAATTGAAGAAAGAAAGAAAATAAAAATCGAAACGGAAAAATTGAAAAAAAAAAACCAAAAAATTATAAAATAGAAACATCGGAGATAAAAAAAACTAAAAATAAATACAACAAAAACCGAAAAAATTAAAGCATCGAAAATTTGCAAAAATCTAAAAATTGGGGAAACAAGAAAAATGAAAATTCTCAAGTCAAATAATCGAAAAATTATAAATGAAAAAACAAAAAATTATAACATCGGAACGTTGAAAATTAAAAACTGAAAAAAAAGAGAACAAGAAACCGAAACGAAAAATTGTAGATCAAAAATCTGAAGAAGTGAAAAATTAAAGAATCGAAAAATGGAAAAAACGAAAAGTCGAGAAAGTTTAACTTGAAAAATTGCAAATTAAAAAACTGAAAAATCGAATAATTAAAAAAATATGGATAAAAAAAAAACCAAAAGGAAAAATTGGAAAGTATGAAATGAAAAATTCAAAAACCCAAAAATTGGAAAATTAAAAATTGAGGAAACAAAAATGAAAACCTGTAAAATCGCAAATGGAAAAATTGAAATTGTGTCAAAAAATTATAAAATCCAAATATTGAAAAAAAACAAAAATTAAATAAAGATGACACAAACCGAAACGAAAAATTAGGAATCGTTGAAAATTTTGAAAAAATAAAAAATTAAAGAATCGAAAAATTGAAAAATCGAAAACTTGAGGAAACAAGAAAAATGAAAAAACCCAAATTAAAAAATTGAAGAAACGAAAACTTGAAAAAATATAAATGAAAACAAAAATAAAAAGTGAAATATTGAAGAAATGAAAAAGTTAAAAATTAAACGTTAAAAAATTGAAAAATTTCACATTAAAAAAAAAATAAAAATCGAGACCGAATAATAATAATAATAATAATGTTTTATTGACGGAAATTCCCTGAATACAATTGCAGAAGATATGAAAAATTGAAATTGAAAAAACAAGGAATTATAACATCGGAACATTGAAAAAAAAAACTAAATAAAGACACCAAAAACCGAAACGGAAAATTGCAAATCGTTAAAAAATTTGAAAAAATGAAAAATACCCAATTAAAAAATTGAAAACTCTAGAAATTTTAACTTGAAAAATTGCGAAATGTACAAATTGAGGAAACAAGAAAAATGAAAAATTAGAAAGCGCAAATTAAAAAAATTAAACTTGAAAAAAAATTATAAAATTCAAACACTGAAAAATCGAATAATTGAAAAAATATGGAAAATAAAAACCAAAACAAAAAATTGGAAAATCGAAAATTTGAAATGAAAAGAAAAATTAAAGAATCGAAAAATTGAGAAAACAAAAATGAAAACCTAAAAAAATCGCATTTCGATAAATTGAAGAAGTGAAAAACTGAAAAAATTAAAACAGAAACAACAGATTATCAAAATTCAAACATTGAAAAATCGAGTAATTGAAAAATTAAAAATAAAGACTCGAAAAATTTTAACTTGAAAACTGACAAAATTTATAAATTGAGGAAACAAGAACAAAGAAAAATTGAAAAAAAAAATCAAAATCGAAACCGAATAATAATAATAATCATAATAATGCTTTATTGACGGAAATTCTCTAAATACAATTGCAGAAGATATGAAAAATTGAAACTGAAAAAAACAATTATAAAATGGGAACATTGAAAATAAAAAGAAACTAAAAACAAAGACAAGGAGAACCGAAACGAAAAATTGCAACTCGTGAAAAAATTAAACATTAAAGAATCGAAAGATTACAAAATCTAAAAATTCAGGAAACGAGAAAAATTAAAAATCCCAAATTAAAGACTTGAAAAATTGAAAACTCCATAAATTTTGGGTTGAAAAATTGCAAAATTTATAAATTGAGGAAACAAAAATGAAAGCCTGAAAAATCGCAAATCGAAAAATTGAAGAAACGAAAAATTAAAAAAATTAAAAGTTGTAATATTGAAAAATTTTACATTAAAAAAAATAAAAGTCGAAACCGAATAATAATAATCATAATAATTCTTTATTGACGGAAACTATCTAAACACAATTGCAGAAAAATTGAAACGGAAAAAACAAGATTATAAAATCGAAATATTGAAAATAAAAAAAACTAAAAACATGAAAAACCGAAACGAAAAATTGCAACTCGTGAAAAAAATTGAAAAAACTAAAAACTCGAAAAATTCTAAATGAAAAACGAAAAACTGAAGAAATGAAAAATTGAAAACTCGAGAAATTTTGAGTTGAAAAATTGTAAAATTTATAAATTGAGCAAACAAGAACAAATTATATTTGAAAAAAAAATCAGAAAATTCAAACACTGAAAAAATCGAATAATTGAAAAAATTAAACCGAAACGAAAAATTGGAAAATCGAAAATTTGAAGTGAAAAATTGAAAAATCGAAAAATTGGAAAAATTAAACGTTAAAAATTGAAAATTTTCACATTAAAAAAAAATCGAAACCGAATAATAATAATAATAATAATGTTTTAATGACGGAAATTCCCTGAATACAATTGCAGAAGACATGAAAAATTGAAATTGAAAAAACAAGGAATTATAAAATCGAAACTTTGAAAATAATAATAATAAAAAACAACTAAAAATAAAGACAACAAAAACCGTTAAAAAATCTGAAAAAGTGAAAAATTAAAGAATCGAAAAATTGAAAAAATGAAAACTCGAGAAATTTTAACTTGAAAAATTGCAAAATCTATAAATTGAGACAAACAGAATAATTGCAAATTTAAAAATCCAAAAACTGAAAAATCGAATACTTGAAAAAATAAGGAAAATAAAAACCGAAGGGAAAAATTGGAAAGTTTGAAGTGAAAAATTCAAAAATCCAAAAGTTGGTAAATTAAAAATTGAGGAAACAAAAATGAAACTGTAAAATCGCAAATGGAAAAATTGAAATTGAAAAACAAAAAATTATAAAATCGAAATATTGAAAAAAAAAAGACGACACAAACCGAAACGAAAAATTACAAATCGTTCAAAAATTTGAAAAAATAAAAAATTAAAGAACCGAAAAATTGAAAAATCGAAAAATTGAGGAATCAAGAAAAATGAAAAATGCCAAATTAAAAAATTGAAGAAACGAAAACTTAAAAAATATAAATGAAAAAACAAACAAAATTGTAACATCAGAACATTGAAAAATTAAAAAACTGAAAATAAAGGAAACAAAAAATTGAAAATCCGAGAAATTTTAACTTGAAAAATGCGAAATCTACAAATTGAGGAAATAAGAAAAACGAAAAATTAAAAATCAGAAATAAAAAAAAAATACACTTGAAAAAACATATAATTATAAAATTTAAACACTGAAAAATCGAAAATTTGAAGTGAAAAATTGAAAAATCGAAAAATTAAAAAATGTGACAGTAAAAAAAAATAAAAATCGAAACCGAATAATAATAATCACAATAATGAAGATATGAAAAATTGAAACTGAAAAAACAAAAAATTATAAAATAAAAAGAAATAAAGGCAAGAAAAACCGAAACGAAAACTCGTGAAAAAATTAAAAAAAATTAAACATTCAAGAATCGAAAGATTACAAAATCTAAAAATTCAGGAAACGAGAAAAATTAAAAATCCCAAATTAAAAACTTGAAAAATTGAAAACTCGAGAAATTTTGAGTTGAAAAATTGCAAAATTTATAAATTGAGGAAACAAGAAAAACATTAAACTTGAAAAAACAAAAAATCATAAAATTCAAACACTGAAAAATCGAATAATTCAGTAAAATTAAAACCGAAACGAAAAATTGGAAAATTAAAAATTGAGGAAACTAAAATGAATGCCTGAAAAATCGCAAATCGAAAAATTAAAAAAATTAAAAGTTGAAACCGAATAATAATGATCATAATAATGCTTTATTGACGGAAATTATCTAAATACAATTGCTGAAGATATGAAAAATTGAAACTGAAGAAACAAAAGATTATAAAATCGGAATATTGAAAATAAAAAAAAAAAAAAAAACTAAAAACAAGAAAAACTGAAACGAAAAATTGCAACTCGTGAAAAAAATTGAAAAAATTAAAAACTCGAGAAATTTTGACTTGGAAAATTGTAAAATTTATAAATTGAGCAAACAAGAAAAAATTAAAGTTGAAAAAAAAATCAGAAAATTTCGAACACTGAAAAAATCGAATAATTGAAAAAACAAAACCGAAACGAAAAATTGGAAGATCGAAAATTTGAAGTGAAAAATTGAAGAAACGAAAAATTAAAAAAAATGAAAAATTTCACATTAAAAAAAAAATTGAAACCGAATAATAATAATAATAATAATGTTGAAAAAACAAGGAATTATAAAATCGAAACTTTGAAAATAATAATAAAAATAATAAAAAACAACTAAAAATAAAGACAACAAAAACCGTTAAACAAATTGAAAAAATTAAAAAATAAAGAATCGAAAACTGCAAAAGAGAAATGAAAAATCCCAAATTAAAAAATTGAAAACATTATAAATGAAAAACAAAAAGCTCTAACATCGCAACACTGAAAAATCAAAAAACTGTGGAAATAAAGAAAATAAAAAACCTTAAATATGAAGAAATGAAAAATCAAAGACTCGAAAAACTGAAAACTCAAGAAATTTAAACTTGAAAAATTGCAAAATCTATAACTGAGTAAACAAGAAAAACATTGAAGTTGGAAAGACAAAAAATTATCAGAAAGTAAAAATCGCATTTTTTTTCATAGAAGCGCGATTTGTGTTTTGTCCTTGTCGAGTTCCTATTTGAGCATAAATAATAATAAATAATAAACAACTGAAGCCTGGTTTATGCACGTGAATTACACGTGTTCGATTTCCCGCATAGCCACAGCGACACTTAATTCTTCAAACATTTTCTCAACGCGTAGCTCTGAGGCATACTTCGAGAACTTTCTCTATCACTTACAGCTTTGTCACAAACCAAGCATGTCAAAAAACGAGGATGTTCCAGAGTCTCAGTAAATAACTAACTCCCAGTCAGTAAAACCACCTACCTCAGGAAGATCCGGAACTGGTGAAGACGAAATGTGGTTGATTGTGGTTTGGGCAGTCGCCGTATCCCTAAGGGCACTAAGACTCGTGGGGGTGGATGGAAGCTGTTGTTTCTTTTTGAGGGCCTCCTGAAACCCCAAAGCGTGACCGTGAACATCCAAAACAACCAACAAAAAAATCAAGGACTCACCTTATAACAAAGTGAGCAGAGTCCGTCGGTTGCAGGACTGCCATAAAATCCACATCCTGAGCGGCAGAGCGCTTGCATTGGATTAGATTCACGCTCCATGGCGTTCAATTAAAAACTAACGAAAACAACAACAAAACCCAAACGAAATGTCAACCGCTTTGTTCCGTCGAATTGGGCGAGTCGAGTGGATACCCTGTCACGAAACAATACTTGCTGGATTTATCTGAAACAACAAAGACACCAATTAAAAACCGCCACACCGAAAACGAATCAACTAAAATGATAGCTCGCACTACCTAGACCCACGGAATCCCGAACCAAAATAAATTGCTTAATTACTGGCGAAACCGAGGTTAACGACTTGCACGCGTTTCGTCGACGCGTCGGGAGTATTTTTATAAATCGGGAAAGAAGACCACCTGATTGATCAGGAAGCGGTAGTGAGAACCGAGAGTATTTTTAAAACTACTATACCACCACGAAAAAAAAAAAAAAATCAAAACGCGTCATTTTTCCCAGTTATATTGTGGCAGGTGTCACTAAACCTAGCGCGCGTTGCGACGCGAGTTGCGACACACAGATAACCATTTGATAATGAGGGCATTGCCTCCCGTCAGGTGCTCTACGCAAACACCTGACCTGAACTACGTTTGAGAAAAAAACTCAAGATGTTTCCCCGAAGACAGCTGTTTTCGCATTTCCGCGGAAAATTTTCTTTGTTGTACGGAAAGCTCACCTTTAAATTTCGTTCCATTGTTTACATATTTATTATGAATGGAAGTGGAAAGATTTGCATCAATCAAGGGTTGATCTACGCGTTGCCATGGCGATACGTGTAAGGTAATCTGTCCAAATCTGTGCTAATTGTGTTACGAAGCAATTAATTTACATAACGTGTAAACGTGCAATGTTGGCAGGGAGGGACGTGGGGTCTACGGCTTATGAAGCGAGAAATTGCTATTTCGACTTCATTAGTCATGCAGATGTCTATATTCATAATGTAAAATAGGGAGACGCTCGAACCTGGAACGAAATTGGCGTTTTCGTATTCGACGAACTGTAAAACTGATCGACAAGAAATGTCGGTTTCGGTGGCAAATTATTTTTTTCCTGCCTATATGTTGCTAATTTAATCAATTCGGTCAGATTTTGTGTGTATATTAGGAATATCATCATCCCCACCAATAATTTGATGACGTCATCTCAAAGAATTCTATTTTAAAATTATTTAAACGTCACACAACAATATACTCCTATACTTGTGGTGTACGAATCCGCTTTGTTTTTTCCCAATCGTCAAAATTTTCGCAAAAACATGATCAAATTAAGAGAACATTTTGTTCCATAAACTGATTCCTACTGACATTCTTTCGCTGTATAAACATAAACACTTGAAATTAAGTATGTTATTATTTTTGAGAGGACTTTTTTCCAGTTGTTTATTTGTTTTAAATACATTTTGTACTGTTCGTACACATGTTCGGACCATGCAACCTTATCAATTTCTCATTTTTTTTGTTTCTTCACTTTTCCATTTGCAATTCTTGGAGTTTTTGAGTTTAAATTTTTCGATTCACGTTTTTCGAGTTTTGAAATTATTAATTTTTCGATTTGCAATTTTTTGTTTCGGTTTTTATGTGCTTTATTTTTTCAATTTTCAAATTTTTCGATTCAAAATTCCTCGAGTTTTCAATTTATTTATTTTTTTGTTTCTTCAATATTACGATTTGCAACACTTCCAGTTTTCATTTTTAAATTTGAATTTTTCTATTTTATAATTTTGTTTCTTCAATTTTTGGCTTTTGAAGTTTTTCAATTCTTTAATTTCTCATTGCTTCAATTTTTATTTTTTTTGGATTTTTCAACGTTCGGATTTCAGTTTTCCATTTGCAATTCTTGGAGTTTTTAAGTTTAAATTTTTCAGTTATTCAATTTTCCAACTTGTGAATTTTTCGATTCACGTTTTTCGAGTTTTGAAATTTTTAATTCTTCGATTTGCAATTTTTTGTTTCGGTTTTTATTTGCTTTATTTTGTCAATTTTCAAATTTTTCGATTCAAAATTCCTCGAGTTTTCAATTTATTTATTTTTTTGTTTCTCAAATATTACGATTTGCAACACTTCCAGTTTTCATTTTTAAATTTAAATTTTTCTATTTTTATAATTTTGTTTCTTCAATTTTTGGCTTTTGAAGTTTTTCAATTCTTTAATTTCTCATTGCTTCAATTTTTTTTTTTTTGATTTTTCAATGTTCGGACTTTATAATTTTTTGTTTTCTCGATTTCAATTTCTCCATTTTTTTTTTCGTCAATTTTTAGATTTTGACATTTTTCGATTCAAAATTCCTCGAGTTTTCAATTTTTCGATTTTTTTTTTTGTTCTTCAATATTACGATATGCAACACTTCTAGTTTTGATTTTTAAAATTTTTCAGTTTTAAGATTTTCCAACTTTTGGCTGTTTCAATTTTTCACATCTTTAATTTTTCTGTTTGCACGTTTTCCGTTTCGGTCTCTCGATTTTTCTTTTCTTCAATCTTTTATTGCAATTTTTCTACTTTTCATTTTAAAGATGTAATAATAATAATTTTCTAAATTTTTCCGCTTTTATTTTAACAATTTTTTGATTTTTCTCAATGTTCCGATTTTATAATTTTTTCATTATTCAATTTTTCGATTTTTGATTTTTCAATTCTTCAAATTTGGATTTGCAGTTCCTCGTTTAGGGTTTTTTTTAATTATTCCATTTTTTCAATTCTTCGATGTTTCAATTTGGATATTTTTCAGTTCTTCAATTTTTCGATTTTTTAACGTTCTGATTTTATAATTTTTTGTTTTCTCGATTTCAATCTTTCCATTTTTTTTCTTCCCCATTTTAATTTCTTCAATTTTTAGATTTTGAAATTTTTCGATTCAAATTTCCTCGAGTTTTCAATTTATTTATTTCTCAATTTCTGGATTCTTTCGATTTTGTTTATTTTTTTGTTTCTTCAATATTACGATATGCAACACTTCCAGTTTTCATTTTAAAATTTTTCAGTTTTTCTATGTGCAATTGTTCCGTTTCAGTTTTTATTTTCTCTATTTCTTTCATTTTTGGATTTTCAATTTTTCTTTTCTTCAAACTTGTACAATTTTTCTACTTTTCATTTTAAAGATGTAATAATAATAATAATAATAATAATGTGCAAAATTTTTCACTCTTTCAGTTTTACAATTTTAGAATTTCTCGATTTCCATTTCTGGTTTAAATTTTTCGATTGGCAAATTTTCATTTTTTCTTGTTCCTTAAGTTTTACGTCATGCAACTCTTCATTTTGAAATTTTTCATTTGTTTGATTTTCCAACTTTTGTTTTTTTGTTTCTCTTTTTAGATTTTGCAATTTTTCGGTTTTCAGTTTTGCGATTTTAGAATTTTCCATTTTTCGATTATTAGATTTTTAAACGTTTTCAGTTATTTGATTTTTCTATTCAATTTTTAATTTCTTTAAACTTGGATTGCAGTTTCTCGTTTCGGTTGTTTATTTTCTTTATTTTTTCAATTATTCGAATTTCCAATGTTCCTATTTTATAATTTTTTGTGATTGGATTGGATTTTGAAGTATTTCAATTCTTTAATTTCTCATTGCTTCAATTTTTTTTTGGTTTTCTAATTTTTTGTTTTCTCGATTTCAATTTTTCTATTTTTTTTTTCTTCCGCACTTTAATATCTTCAATTTTTGGATTTTGAAATTTTTCGATTCAAATTTCCTCGTGTTTTCAATTTATTTATTTCTCAATTTGTGGATTCTTTCGGTTTTATTTATTTTTTGTTTCTTCAATATTGATATGCAACAATTCCAGTTTTCATTTTAAAATTTTTCAGTTTTTCCATGTGCAATTTTTCCGTTTCAGTTTTTATTTTCTGTATTTGTTCAATTTTTGGATTTTCAATGTTTCTTTTCTTCAAACTTCTACAAATTTTTCTACTTTTCATTTTAAAGATGTAATAATAATAATAATGTTCAAAATTTTTCACTCTTTCAGAGAATTTTAGAATTTTTCGATTTCAATTTCTGGTTTAAATTTTTCGATTAGCAATTTTTCATTTTTTCTTGTTCCTTAAGTTTTACGACATGCAACTCTCCATTTTGAAATTTTTCAATTGTTTGATTTTCCAACTTTTGTTTTTTTGTTTCTCTTTTTAGATTTCGCAATTTTTCAGTTTTCAGTTTTGCGATTTTAGAATTTTCCATTTTTCGATTATTAGATTTTTAAACGTTTTCAGTTATTTGATTCTTCTATTCAATTTTTAATTTCTTTAAACTTGGATTACAGTTTCTCGTTTCGGTTTTTTATTTTCTTTATTTTTTCAATTATTCGAATTTCCAATGTTTCTATTTTATAATTTTTTGTTTCTTCAATGTTTGGATTTTGAAGTATTTCAATTCTTTAATTTCTCATTGCTTCAATTTTTTTTTGGTTTTCTAATTTTTTGTGTTCTCGATTTCAATTTTTCCATTTTTTTTCTTCCGCACTTTAATATCTTCAATTTTTAGATTTTGAAAATTTTCGATTCAAATTTCCTCGAGTTTTCAATTTATTTATTTCTCAATTTGTGGATTCTTTCGATTTTAATTATTTTTTTGTTTCTTCAATATTACGAAATGCAACACTTCCAGTTTTCATTTTTAAATTTTTCAGTTTTTCCATGTGCAATTTTTCCGTTCCAGTTTTTATTTTCTCTATTTCTTCAATTTTTGGATTTTCAATTTTTCTTTTCTTCAAACTTGTACAATTTTTCTACTTTTCATTTTAAAGACGTAATAATAATAATAATGTTCAAAATTTTTCACTCAATCTTTCAGTTTTACAATTTTAGAATTTTTCGATTTTTCTCAATGTTCCGATTTTATAATTTTTTGTTTTTTCGATTTTTCGATTTCATTTTTTATTTTTGTTCCTTCAGTTTTACGACATGCAAATCTCCATTTTGAAAATTTTCAACTGTTTGATTTTCCAACTTTTGTTTTTTTGTTTCTCTTTTTAGAGTTTCCATTTTTCGATTATTAGATTTTTAAACGTTTTCAGTTATTTGATTTTTCTATTCAATTTTTAATTTCTTTAAACTTGGATTGCAGTTTCTCGTTTCGGTTTTTTATTTTCTCAATTATTCGAATTTCCAATGTTTCTGTTTAAAAATTTTTCAGTTTTACGATTTTCCAACTTTTGGATGTTTCAATTTTT